CATGACTAATGTTTTGTATACATATATTGTCTTATATTTAAAATGTATTCAAAGCAATTTAAATTTATAATTAACTTAATTTATTTTGCTTATGCTTTTTTCGTACAGGAACCAAATAAATTGACCTCATAAACCAATGAAACGCAGTTTATTCTCATTTTTCCGGGTCCTTTCACTAATTTCTCTGTGAAGTGATAATTACAATTTTTTTCGTATTTTTAAATAGATTTTAATGCCATTAATGCGGAAAAGTACTTGCCTAACCAATGGCATGAAAGCTCTCAATGCGGGATTAATGAAATCTGATTACAATTGGCATAATAGGACACATTGAAGGTAAGCAAAAATAAATTAAATAATTTAGGCCAAGAGTCGATGATGGCATACAATTGTTCGCCGATAAATTTCATTAAAATGCTGAAATGAAAACGAAAAGAATGGCTTAAACTCAATTGATTGAAGTTAATATATAAATCCTGATATAGTTTCTTAATTAACAGAGCGTCAGATAGCCTAGAAAAGCATTTTCGTGTGCTATATGCTATGTTTCTTTAATAATTTTTATTTTAATACATTTTAGTGGACTGAATATAGCATTGTTTTAAATAAATTTAAAAAATTGAACCCTTTAATCCATCTGTTGTTTCGACTTTCCCCAAGGGATAAAGATGCAATTTAAATGACAATCCTTAATTAAAAATATTTCATTTCCATTAGCTGCTGATGACTTCTCCCGGTTGAGTTTAAGCCTTATGGCCTGACACTCGCTGATCTTTTTATTGCCTTCACCGCATCAGAAATAAAAAACCTTCACACAGTCCACTAACAATTGTGGCTTCACTTAATCCAAAATGTTTCTGTTATTGTTATACATTTATTAAACATAATTTGAGCGCGTAAATTTCAGAGTCATTTGCGGACAGGCAGAGAGAGAGCGAGATGGATAATGAGAAGGAGACAGAGACAGAGTCGCAATTAACATTCATTGTCGTGTGCGACTTTTTGTGTCTGCACTTTTCACCATCGATTGATGCTGAGCCATTTCCAGCGATAATTATGGCCACACAAAGGTTTGTGGTAGATGGGGGCGTGGGTGGTCTTAACGGGAGGGACGTATATAAGTGCATTTAAGTAGCATTTAAACTCGAAACAGTTCGAGATGGACTCTTAATAAGGGAATAATTGCAGCTCAACCAGGATTATCTATAAAAATATTTACCAATTTTGCACAAATGGAACTCTTAAAAACAATTGGTTTTTAAACAAATATTAAGTTTCATTACATTTCCATTAAATGTTTTAATTAATTAAATAATTGCTGAAATGTGCCAAATTCAAATTTGTAAAAAGCAAGCATTTTAAAAGCTTAGATGCACCTAGACTTTTTCAAGTTTTAAAAACCTTCTTCTGACTGTTTGTCCCATAACAGCAGGCAGCACTTTTCGAACTCCCTGTGATTCCAACACTCCAACGCACTTTTCCCAACTCTGAGCTGACATCCGCTGGCTGGGCTTTGATGATGGCTAAAGTGCACACGTAAACACTTAACCTGGCCCTGATTGGGGGAGTGGAGTGGAGGGTCAGAGACGTGGGCAGGTATCCATTCTGCTGGCTGATGGTTGACTTAATTTCTCAACTGTCAGCTGGGCGGGCGATGCGACGACTAATTTAAGAGTGAAAATCATTTTCGGCGATTTCGCTTTCTGGCTAGTTGCCAATCAGGTCACGAACTGTCGCTCCAGTCCGGTTTCAGTTTTCGGGGCCCTGATTTTTCATGTTCTCATGCAGGCCGAAAGGGTCACAGTGAACATGTTCATAATGTGCGCTAATGTGCATAATGTATGCGAGCCAAAAACCAGACACGCACACCTGCGCACCGACAGTCCACGTTCCACACACACACTGGCACACTCGCACACTCGCATTCAGGTAACACGTGCAACAATAACAACAACAGGAACAAGGTGAAACAGGCAATTTAACAAGCCATCAACGCTGATGGTGCCGACAATGATGTTGATGATGGGATGGCCTCACCGGCAATAACAACAGTCAGCTGCAATAACAGCACGGCTAAACAGGAAACACGAGCCAACTACAACAATCGGCGACAACACGGCAATATAATGTTGCACCTTTGCCACACCCACCAGCCCTTATTCCTATGACCTATTTGACTGCCCTATTTTCAAAAAAAATCATGCTGACAAGGCAAAGTTTGTTAATAAATGGAAGAAATGGTAAGAGTCAATTAAATATGGTTTTCATCAAAAAAGGCTTTTTGGAGATTAAAAAGATAACCCAAACTTACACGTGTCATCCCACAACTTGGCAAATTGAAAATGGAGTCTAAAGCAGATTTTCCTGATCTATTTTTTTTTGGATAAATTTCTTGTACCGTTTGCGTTTTATAAAATTATAAAATTCCATGACAAAATAACAATATTTTGGTGTCAGGCCGGAAGCCTTACTCTTTCAATCAAATAAACCAAAAGATGACTTTAAAATGGGAAATGTTTTCAAAATAGCAATTCAGTGGAGCGTTAACAGGCTGTACAAATCAATGTAGAAACTAATTTTAGTCGCCATAAACTTCACCCTTTTTCGAATCATCGCAGCTTTACGAGGATGAAAAGAAAGCAGCCTCTTTTTGCACTTTCCACTTTGCACACGGCGGCGGAAGCAAGAAAATTAAGGCAATTCAGTCTGGGCTTTTCAGCTCGTCACGTTTTCTTTCGAGGATCACGTAGTGACCCACACGCTCGCCCAAAAACGGAATACTTGATGCAAAACTTTGGCCTTTGCTGTGCTTATCGCTGCTGCTGCTTCTCATGCTGCATTCAATATTTATTACGCATACGACCGGTTGACGTTCGGCTAAGAAGAAGCCAAGGCCCAGGTTCAGACTTACCTCTAACAGGCTTAATTAATGCGACAAAGTGCTTGCCAATTCGGCTGCTCCTGCGTCCTTGGTCCCTCGAAAATCCCTCTTCTAGTGGTACAAATTTGCGGCCTTTAATCAGCTTACACGTAGTGGACTATGTGAGCTCTACTCCACGGATTTTCCCTTTCATTGCGCCAGCAAAAAGTGACTTGGCATAAGTCAACCAACTGCAATCAGCGCTGAAAAACTGCTGAGATGATGTGTTGCCTTAGCTTCTATTTAGGTCTACAATTTTTAAGAAACTTCTTTGTAATAATGATATGTATTTAAAATACAGTCCTTTAAATTTATAGTAATAAATATTAAGTTTTACTTATTTCCAACAACGAATTTTAAAATATATTTTTAGGTGGGGATGATATTAAAAAAATTTCATATATGAAAATTCTGCATCGCATTTTTTTAGTTGGTTAGTTTTTCGTTATTTTTAATGGAATTCCTTACCTTTTCTTCTAAACATAACAAAAAATTACTGATATATATATCTTTCACTCACTCTGAATGCCTTGTTTCCACCCTGTTTGTTCTGCCTCGAAAATAATGTATAAAATGTAACGATTGAGGCGGCAGACACGCCCACTCCACAGCGCACACACATTCGCGGAAACACACACATCAAACCGAGCTGTTGATGGCTTTCAGTCAGCGGAGGGAATTCGAGGATTCGTATTGCCCGAACACACATAACTCAACGGAGCGACTGGCAATGAAGGCAATGCATCCGGACCCTCGTGGGCTGCCAACAATTAACAGCATAAATTTAAATATGCAATTAACGCAACAGCTTGAAGCTGCAAAAAAAAGAACAATTAAATAAACGGAGAATGAGCAGAGTCAAGAGTTGTGGTGCAAAGAACAATTTTCAGAACAGTGCTCATGGTTAAAATTGAATTTTAAGTATTTCTTGCATAAAAGCTTGAAACTTTTATAATATCATAATTTTCAAGGCTTTTTTTTTGGGTTAGGCTAATTTGTAAATATTTCAGGGAATATATTTTAAGTTTTAAATCATTTATAAATATTTAATGATATTTTTTTATAGTTTTTAACAATTTTTGGCAGATTTAAAGGAAGAACAATTAACAGCCACTGTAACTTCGGTTAAATTGATTATATTTTTTAAACAGATTAAAAGAAATAAAAATTTAAAGCCACTGTATTTTATGCAAAGGATCGACAGCAAACCAAGAAAACCAAATAAGCAAGAAGATGGAACCAAAAAGGTCAAAGGGTAGGTGCGAGGAAGTGAACTGCAACAAAAAAATGAAGGCGACAATAAAAGCCAAAGGTCACTTTCACGCAGGCACACTCGCACGCAGAGCAGTGAAATGCATTTGATTGTTGCCTTTTTTTTGTTGTTTCATTCATTGTTTTTTTATTTCGAACACGAAAAAAAACAAGTCGAAAAAACACAATTTTCCGCTTTATTTGTAAAACTCTGGCCGAGCCACAACAACAAGAAAAAAGACAAGGGCAATGTCTGTACGCTATATGATACTGCCACTGGACTCCCCCTTTACTGTCCCCCTTTTTTGAGACTCCCATGAAATCCCCCCTACCCCTCCACAACCCCTAGAGCAATCGTTGCCATAGCCACATGTCAATATTTTTGCACTTCGGCCTCGGTTACAAGGGCCCGTAGGGGATTCGTCCTGTAAAATTTATTTCAGTGCAGCGGCAGACACTTTACTGATGTGTAAATTGCTCTCTCTCCCCTTTAATGAAATTAAAACAAATTTTCAGTGAAATTTAATATGCAGAAGCAACGGACTGCGCACAGTAGGCATAATAATAATAAGCACAATAATGGCATTAAAATTATTGCACCTGGCCACTGCAGTTGACAGCAACACCAAAACCATCGGAAAATTACGATGCTCAATTACCGGAGTCAAAGTGCAAAAAGCTGAAAAATGCCAAAGTATAAATGCTGTTATTTTTATCAGTAATAATACACTAAGGGAGTTAAATTTGGATCGGTTATGTAAGGTACAATTGCCTCCATATGGGTGACAAATAAAACAATGTATTTTTAGTCGATTTGCTTCTTTTTTTTAATAGACGACATGACAGTGGTATTTATTTCCCCCTTTGGACATTTAAATAATAGCCGAATCACAATGCTTCTTTTAATTTCTACACCTTAGAATTGGAATTTTTTCTTCAGCTCCTTCACATAATAACAATTCAGCTGACAATAGAAACTCTTCAATGGAATATGGTTAAAATGAAAGAGAATTACAAATTACAGATTTAATTACAAACTGAAAGAGTGCGAATCAAAGAAGAAGTAGAAGAAATTCCTGGAGAAAAAACGATATTCGTATCAAATGCATAGAAAACCCAAACGAAGTATAGCCTCATCTAAAGTAGGGTTTTCAAGTTCCTCAGGCTGCGGTTCAAATTCCAGCAATTGCTCGATGCTATAGCGTTTCACGATTTCTCCTTTTTGATTGGTTAATATCTTTAACGAAGTTTGTGGATTTTGACGGGATGTCCAGTTGGCAAGAGGCAGGAAATGGGTGAGATTTCCTTTGCGTTTCTCCGTTTCCAGTAATTCATCAGGTGGACAATAGCGAGGTTTCACAGTGGCCCTGAGATCCCCCAGTCTGATAACCCCAGAAGAGGTGATCTTCACCACATTTGGGTTAACCGAAAGAGCCTGACTGGAAGTTGGTAATGGATTGGAGTCCTGCTTTTCGGCCTCCATCTTAGCCATTTGTTTGGCCCGACATTGCTCGTCCCATTCTTTGGTGGTGGGTATATACCTTTTTTTGACGACTAAAGCCACCTCCTCCTTTTTTTCAGGTGCCTTTGGGATGCTGATATAACGATTGGTGTTATTGGGATCATAACTAGTCATTTTGTGCTCCTCCTTTTCCGATTCCCGTTGAATGCTTATATGACGATTGCGTTCAATGGGTTCATATCGAATCTTTTTCTGCTGCTGCAATTGCTGTGGCTCAAGTTGATCCAGTTGTTCCTGCTTCTCATTTGTCATTTCGCGAAGGACCCTCTCGATACGCTCCCTCTTCGCGATCCTTAAACGATCCACTCTTATTCTTTCCTCCGGCGAAAATTTAATGGGAGATCGCGAGAGATTGATAACTGGTTGGACATTATTCAAATTTTCATTGGCTGGAGTCGGGGAAACTAAAGGAGCCCTCATGCGCCTTTGTTCAACCAACTTCAAGGCTTCCACAGCTACATTTCTCTCGTGTTCACGGCGCTTTTCCTGGGCATCATACATTTGTTTTACTGTAGGGTGATCCGGAAGAATATTCGAAGATGTTGTTGGAAGATTTTCATTGGGCTTGGAGTGTTGAACCATGTCGGCAATTAGCTTTTCATCCTTGGACTTTTTGGTTCGCTTGATGGAAGGCAGAATCATGTAGTCTATATCGTTTAATAAAACCACCTGGGCACTGCGCGAAGCTAAAACAGAGATTTGGCAAAATGTTATACCAAAATGTGACAAAAAACAAGGTACTTACACTTTTCAGCTTTCTTAGGAAATCCTTTCCAAGGCAACATTAAGTTCGTTTTTGTCTTGTGCTCATCCAGAGCCTCAAACGTTTTCTTTATTTCATTCGAACCGACTTCAGCTTCATCTTTGGTCGACTCTTCCCTTATAAAACGTGGCACAAACTCTTGGGCGTTGGCATTTAGCTTCACTGTACTTGCACTGGTCTGCTCGCCAGCATTACCTTCATTTTCCCCTTGGCTTTTCTTTAAGAAGTCTAGATCTTGCACTGGAGACTTGAGAATCTCAAAGAGGGCACGACTTTTTATCAAGTTGTGCATCGTCTTTTTTTTGGCTTATTGCTTTGTTTTGTGAGTATTGACTGCTTTTGTTTCAGATAAATATCTGTATATTTATGCGTATGATTGGAGCTGCTTGATAAAAAGTGATGTTAAGTATCAAGCTAAGCCTACTAGTGAATACATAACTTTAGTTGCAATGTCAGTGTAAAGTTTGCTCAAATATTTTTGTGATTATTTTAAGTCCTTCACATTTTTATCTGGGACTATGCTCTTTTTTCCAAATAATGACTTTCCTGTTTGCAATGGATTGAAGTGCTGGCAAATAGTCTATAAAGTGCCCATCTTAAACTCGTCGAACTATATTTCCGATCGCACCACCTTCTAAATCGACTGGCAAATCCATGTACATTTCTCCATTGTTGACATTTATTCGCACAATAAACAGAAAGCCAAGGTGGGCGGAAAAACACAGGTGAAATAGGTGCAGACCAGGAGAAAATGTGGCGATGGAGCTGAAGATGGGAACGTGGCAAAAGGAAAAGCTAGGTCTGGCAAACAGAGCAAGCGGTAAACGACATTCAATAAAACGTTTGAAAATATTACGGAAAGAGGGAGAGAAAGTGCTGCAGACACAGAAATGAAATGAAATGAAAGAAGCGCACAGAAATATGCAATTTCACCTCAATCAGAGTTGTAAAAACAAACAAACAATGGCCCAATGCAGTGAGCTTGGCTCTGCGGGGATTCTTCCTTGCGGACCACAGTGAACTCCCCCTTGGCCAGATGTCATGTGAGCCACATGCTGGGGCTCCTTGAATCCTCGTTACGATTTCCATTTCCATTTCCATTCCTGTTCCTGTATCGTTTTGCAAGCTCATGCGAAAATGCAAAGAGCAGAAAAATGCAATAAGTAAAACGTAATAACTGCTCAGGAGCTGTGAACGTTTGGCTATATAATCAGGTAGTTGGCTTGGGTTCAACTTACTTGCGTTTTCGCTAGCCTTAAGCCTAACAAATCTAGACGGGAAAAGTGTAACTCGCATAAAAATGGAAATAAAGACAGCTCAGTTAAGTATACGGGCAAATATCAAGATTTATTTCTGGGGTGGATAAGTTAGACAACAAGGAAGTATCAGCGCAAATAATGGCTTTACTTTCTGACTTATTTGTAGTTAATCGAACAAATATTTTACTTTAAAAATAAACCGTTTTAAGTTAAGTTTAAATAAAATTCTTTATGTTTAATTTTTTACTCCAAAAACACCAGCACTCAAAATTAAAAACCACTAGCAGCAACAAAACATAAATGAAACTATTATAAATAATTTATATCAATTAGGTGATCCATGCCAAAATTTCTACAATATTGTCCGACAACTTGTAGGTCATCTGGGGATTACCACAGAGATTGGTGTTCACACATTTACCTACTTACCTATGCATGGCATGGAGTGTTGCAAATTTTTGTGTAATTCGCCTTGGGAAGTAGGTGAAAGTGGAGGCGGCCGCCGCTAATGCATTTGTGGTCAATTGCCGGGTCGCAGGAAGAGGGCGGTAAAACGAACTGAAGCACTGACATCATTTTAATAATAAAATTGTTAACAGAATTGCTGTGCTTTCTGTGGACCAGGCCACACACAAAAACATGTGTTGGCCTTGTTAGCAGCCAAAGCAACACACATGTCCACTGCGAAGAATTATTGACAAGTTCTTATTTTTTAGATTTATTTTTAAATCTGCAAACCAAAATAATAATAAATCAAAGTTAATCTAGAAACTATACATTTATTTTAAATAACTTTAACACAATTTTCTGATTGACTTTTGTTATGATCATTTAAGCCATTTAAGTAATCTTCAGAAAAGGGAAGTAAAAATTACCAATGACAACTTTTATTACTTAATTTATGCTTTGTCAACGTTAAAAGAAAAATTCCATTTTAATAAGCATGAAATAAAATGATCACAATTTTTACTTAATATTTTTGTTTTCAGTTCACAAAATATTTTTGAGGGCCCCACGACGACGACCTCAATGTTGTCGTTGTCGTTGCTCCTGTTCCTGTTAGTGCCTCTGTTTTTGCCCTCTTGCAATCTAAATAAAATGGCCGACGTGTGTGTACGCACAACTTTTGCCATATTTAATCGTATTTGCACCAACAACAACAAGTGGATATATTTTTGCAGAGAGGACTTTTAGTGTTGGCAATTGTAACAGTGGAGACAAAAACAACAGGATCCCACTGCTTGCTTTTGGGCATTTGCTTATTATTGTTAGAAACTTTTGCGCCCACACAACAAAAAAGTCAGGGAACAGAGCTCACACACAATTGGCCTGGCCTCCTTGTTTCCTGCTAGGCAAATGTGTTTTTAGAATATTTTGTAACACAGAAATTACCTCAAAAATTGCACATATGCAAAATGGAACTAGAGATGGCTGTCTGACACAGAAAATATTGTCAAAACTATTTAAGATCAAAAGAAAAACATGATGGCTATAGGGTTTTATAAATTCAGAATAAAAATAAATCACAAATTGTTAAAATGTATCCGAAAATTCGTACATAAGAATTATTGTAGTTAAAAACTGTGTATTTAGTTAATTCTGAAGTTTAGTTTAAATGAAATTTAAGTCTTAAGCATGTCTTCTGAAAATATAACACTAAGCCATATTTAAAATGCAGATTACGACCGATTATTTCCCCTTAAATATTCCATCTCGAATTCGGCAGCTGGGAGGTTGTGGTAGTTATGTCGGATTGGCTTTATTCACAATTTTAAAGCTTGTTTCGGACGGTGACTCTGCTGGGGCAGCTTAAAACGTGCAATGGAAACTTTTGCCTTGGCCAGGTGGAAAGTTTTAAGACACAAATTTATGCCGGGACGGACAGAAAGCGAGCATGTGTGCTTGGAAAGTGATTAAAAATTGGGTCAAGTGTTCGTGCGAAGGGAGATTAAGCAATTTGGCATCGGCACGCACACAAATCAAAGGATTTGGCCATCTTTTTTTACGAATCCCCTACACACGCAGCACCAAAAGTTTCTCACCCGCAACGATTTGTCATTTAGCCAGGCCGAAAGCACAGCTAAAAGTATGCATTAAAATAGGCAACTTTGACTTAATTACAAAACGAGACCACAAACTATACGTACGGACAATTTCAGCAAGGTGAGGCCATCGGAACAACGAGTTAACCGGGTGGTGGCATCAACATCACCTGCCCCTCTCAACCTCAATGAAGTCAGCCGAAAATTGCAGCACTGAAAAAAATATTAGCAAAAAACTACAATATAACTGGAAAAATTTTGTCGAACGACGTTATTTTTAAAAAATTGTCAAATGAAACTCAAAACGATTTTATGCCCTGGCTTTTCTTTTAGAAACAATAAATTAACGATTTTAGTATAAAAAGTATTACTGTTTTTGACCAAGATTTCTTTTGCAGACTTTTTATTGAAAAGTAGAAAAGACTAGAACTGACGGACCCTGTATCTGACTGTGTTGCTCAGGTTTGTTTTGGCTGTGGTTTCAGTGGCATCACGGCCAGTAGCATAGACACAACACCGGAATCACCACCATCACCACCGCACCCAACAACTACAACAGAAACTACTCCGAGTGGGCTTCACTCTGGATGGCATTCCAGGAATAGTGCATCTTCAGCCAGCCTGCAACATCAGCCTCTGCTAAGATGGACCAACTGTGGGTCTGCAGATTCATGATTGGAGATTGGTAACCGAAATGAGCCAGCTTTAATATTTGGCATTGACCGGATCCACAGTTTAAAGTTTCACTTTTAATTAGCCAATAAGTGGTTAGATTTCTTTAGCACATTTGTTTGATCATGACTTTCATTCTAAACATTAAACTATATTTTCAAACTTTTGATAATATTACATTTAACATAATTTTGTAATTGTTATTTTATTAAAATATATACGAATTGTATTATTTTGAAAAATTTTATTAGTGATAGAAAGAAAGTTTTCAATAGCTTTTTTATATTTTACCTAATAGGAACACAACGATTGTTGAAAAACCTTTACTTTGTTTCAAAGGACTTTGCTATATAAATAATTAAACATATTTCATAATCGAAAAAATGTTCCCATGTTATGAAAGAAGAAATGTACATTTGCCGAACCAAATATCGCCCTACTCTTGTTGGCAAGTGGAAATATGTGGGCGATTGGCGAATGTGAGGGGCGTGCGCCTGCATATTTTATGGCTTCATCGGAGATGGACGAATGAGGCGGGGAAGTGGAGTGGAACTGCAGCTGACCGCAGGACACGACTCCACTTACGAGCCGTCCGTCTGGCTGGCTCTAAATTGTTGTTGTCTGAGCTTTGATTGTGGACCGGAGGATCGTCCGGTTTCCCCCCTTTCCCCCTTCCCCTTTTCCTGCATACATATATGTATACGCGTGGGTGGGTATTTAACGTGCCTTAAATCACATTTGGTCTGTAATCAAGCTAAACAAATATGGGCGCTTTGGCTGCGGAAGAGGTTCCCTTGTGTCAAGCTTTCGTTACGATTGGGTTAACTTAAATTTGGACCACCCATCGGAAATACACACAGTATCAGTGCAGTGTGTATGTGTGTGTGTGTGTGTGTTGGAGAATGTGTTTGCTGGTGTGCGTGGCTAACTGGGTCAATTGTGTGAGCTGATTTCGGCTATAATGTACAGTTCGTCTGACAATTAGACGGCAAAGTTAATCCCAAACGACTTCCATTACCAAGTGTCAGTCTTCATTAAGCTTTAGAATTTAACAATAATTAACAAACACAATATAACTATTTTATAACTATGTCAAATTAAGTTTATGAGTGTCATAGATGTTGTTATTAAATTACTAGACTTTTAGGAATACCTTCAGAGTGCTGTTACAAATAATATTTATTTAGAAATAAAAAAATTATCAATTATTTTTGTATTATTTACAGTATAGTTTTTATTTAAACGAAAGTTTTTCTTATCAAACTAGATTCGTTCCTTAAACGGATTTAAATACACTTACGCCAAATCTATGAAATTTTAGAGCTTTAGTTAATAGGATTTAAATCCCCGCAATTCAAGCCATCAAGTGCATTACGCTCATGCAACGCACTGTCCATAAAAGCAGTGGAAAACTGCAGTTAAAGCACTT